ATAAGATAAGTCTCTCTTAATCCTAATCTAATAAGATAAGATAATCTAATCTACTAACTTAATAAGATAAGAATAACAAGATAGTCTAATCTAATCTGCTAAATGGATAAGACTGTTGCTGCCGAATTGGATAGGATGAGAACACCGGATCATTGCTGCTGCTGCTCCCAATACGCGTCCACATCATCACCACTCTCAAAACAACACAATTAACAGCAACGAACCAAGATCCCCATTAACGACGGAATTTTATAGGACCAGTGGCATGAGGAATCAAGTACCAAGCATCAAATCATGAATGTGACAAATGATCCGTTTTTCCTGTGGCTACAATGACTGCCTCTTATTGACACAATAAAGATAACCAGTATAGCAGTTTAGATTAATAATCATAGTTAATAGCTACTCAGGTCATTGATAACAAAACCATGACCAAACACAGTGAAGTTCAATATGTAGATTGGTTGCCATGCTTAAATTTGTTCATTAAGAACAACAGGCAGCTTTTTATATCCCACACAACATCCAGATCATCATTTACAATTGTAATAAGAAATAAAGCAGTATATGGAAGAAAAATTGAAGAAGTACAACCTTGTAATTGATGAATCGGATCCCGTTATTGAAGACAAAAGAATGGGCATCATAATAGAGAAGAAGTGTTGCTTGTAAAGTGGCCTTACAGTTGCATGGAACCTTTTGTTCAAACAAATTTCAGAATCACTCATAAGTATATGGAATGCATCTGCTGCAGATTTCATCACAAGAGGATGCATATCCTGTCCACTATCATTTCCTGACAAACCATGCTGGATAGGTAAGAGTTCTGTGTTGATTGTCGATAGCAAGCATCTCAATAGAGTCATTGTAATATCCTTCACTTTTTCATGTCCTCGCATAAGCAAACCTTTGCCTATCCATGCCAGTCCAACTAGCACATTGGTTTGAACCATTGCATTATTGTTTGCACTGATGTCCAAATCAGTGAGATTCTCAACACTTTTACAGATAACATTGCATTTCCTGAAGGAACTATTACCATTGACACTCCATAAATTCATCTTGGAGATTATTACCATTGCCTCTTCTAAGGTACATGCACGAGACACCTCTACCGAGTCAATTGTTGCTGGCAATTTGTTAATTATAGAACCCAAAGCCTGAGCTGCTGGAACATGTCCTTTCAGAACTACACTCATGAAGAGTTCCAGTACTACTCTTACATCTGGAAGGCATGTTTGTGGACGAAGTGCCATAATTACTGATGCAAATAAAGAAATAAGCCATTCATCTCTACATGAGAAATCTTGTAAATTTTGAGTGAGTTGTAGCCCTTCCGTTTTAAGAGGAATGGATAAGGGCATTGGCTCCTTCAGTGAGAAAGAAGCACTAGACGACAGTATATTATAAGCTTTTTGGACAATCAAACCCTGATTTTTCTCTGAACAATCCGCAACAGCCTGCCTCATTACCATCATTGTCACATCAAGAAGCTCCTGAAATAGAAAAGAAGATAATTGCTATGTTTTCCAGGTTTATACCTATTTCATGCTAAAGCAGTATGCAATGAACAAAGCCAGCTAATAAACATACAAGTTAATTCAAAATCCTAAATAAATTGGTACTTTGCCAGCTGTTAAGATAAAGACAAGAAAAAAAAGACACTGGTGGCTCTACTTACATTTGCTTTGATGCCAATGTTGAAAGTCGTATTAGCTTCCATTTGATTCCAAATATTGATAACAAAATGGAACACAATGTCCTCAAATAGACTGGTTTTATGGAACCTGGCCACAAGACAACAAGAATTAGAAAGATAGATAGAAAGAATAAATTAGAAGTTTCACCTAGAAAGAGAAACCTAGATAAATTAGGCTAGAAAAAATACTCTTCATTTCTAATCACCCATGAACCAACCCACTCCTATCCAAAAGGGTGGGAAAAGAAAGGGAAGTGTAATAAAATAAAGCATTTCCTCTCCCAATTGCAAAAATCGGGTGAATTACAGCCTTCCTCTTTTTCTGTCCTACAATAAAAAGCTGCAAACCCCCTCCCATGGGGTACATAAAAGTCCAGTTTAACAATATGCAAAAGCATAAAGAAAATACAAGAAAAAGAAACCAACATTCAGTCATTCACATCTAGGAATTTAACCAATCACATCATTGCAAACACCTAATCTTCAACACTCCTTCAGATGGTGAGAAAGGAAAACAAACATGAATGGGCTAAGATATTCGCTTTGGATTATGGTAACACAATTAGATAGGAAGAACAGCGTCTGATGACAATTGAACAATGGATGATTTCTTGTGCTTTTTGTTTATAGAAAGCATGATATCTAAATAGACAGAAGAGTGTAAACTAGGAGAGGAAAATTAAATGGGCTGGTTTGGGTGGGTTGGGTTTGGGTCAAGCTTCAACCCAAACCATCTAAACCTTCTGATAAGGCCCGCTACTGTCTGTCACTGGTGAGCTGGTTCGAGGGAGCTCGCCCTCCTGGAATGGACGAGAGGAAGAAGACGAGAGAAGAGAAAGAGAGGGAGATAGAGAGAGAAAGAGAAATCTCAAAGATTCATTTGCTGCCCTTCATGCATTCAATCATTGGCCTTTATAGTAAATGGCCAGCTAACAACCTATAACCTATTCTGAGCATTTGAAGTCTATGATTACTTTTTTAATATGTGGCATCGGGTGTAATATGAATGTAATGGGTGGTGACACCCACGTGATTCGTGGGGGTGTTCTGGACTGACGCATGGGCCTGTTGGGCCTGACTTGCTCCACCTAGGTCTTCTCCTCCCTAGGCCTAACATTCCCATCTCCTTCGAGAATGACCTTGTCCTCAAGGTCGAGGGTGGGGAGCTGCTTCTGAAGTTGGTTATTTCCTCCCACGTGGCATCCTCTCGAGGCAAGCCACGCCATATGACTAGAGCCTGCTTAAGGACCTTACTGCCCTTGCGAACCCAATGCAAATCTTTGATCACCAGTGGCTCGAACACCACTTCCCCGGCCTTTGTGAATTGTGGAAGGGTGGGGCTGATAACATCGGTGGAAGCCAAGCACGGCTTCAGAAGGCTGACATGGAAGACGAGGTGCAACTAGCACTCGGTAGGCAAGTGGAGATGGTAGGCCACAAGCCCAATTCACTCTACCACCTGAAATGGGTCGAAGTATTTGGGAGATAGTTTTTGGGATGCCCTCTTCACTCGAGAGGTCTGTCTATACGGTTGGAGCCGTAGATAAACCCAGTCCCCAACTGAGAACTCTAATTCCCGATGCCTCTTGTCATAGGCTAATTCCCTTCATTGTTGGGCTGGTTGTAAGTGGAATTTGAGGAGCTTGAGTGTACTATCTCTTGCCTGTAATTGTGTCTCCACCTCGGCTACCGGTGGAGTGCCCGTCTCATAAGGTAGGATGGAAGGAGGTTCGTAACCGTACAACACCTTAAAGGGAGTTGTTCCAATTGAAACCTGGAACGTGGTATTATACCAACATTCAGCCCATGGCAACCAGTAGGCCCACTGTTTGGACTCTTCCCCAATGAAGCAACGCATATACGTTTTGAGGCACCTATTAACTACCTCGGACTGCCCATCAGTCTTCTTTGGTGAGGACATAGCTAAGGCAGGGACAATGACGACAATGTCAAATCTCTTCATTGTAGCAACAAGACAAGAACTAATTAATCCAACTCCAAACTGCCTGAGCATACTCACAACAACATTTTCCATCCAGATATAGGATATGGCACCACCGGAGATGCTAGAATGGACAAGGTGAACAACAACTACGTTAAGGATGCTTGGATTCTCACCATTACCTATCATTTCACCCTTTCGTTGTTGACCTGTGTCTTGAGGTCTTGTTGGAACCAAAACCCAAATCATTGAGTCCGCCTTAGCTATTTTGACATCACTGTCAATGATCGAAAGAGTTAACATCTTGGTGGAAGCAAGCACATGTCCTACGTGATCTTCATTGTCGAAGGTTCCTTGACCACTAGGCTTAACTCCAATAATGAACCAGAACTCACGATTGCCACTAGGGAGCGAGGGTGCATTCATCATCACTGGTTTGTCATTAAGCAATATCCTTACCTTGCATCTGATAAGTAGACCTGTAATAAATTCGAGCCAAAATAGCCCGGCCCGTAATAAATTCGAGCCCGGCTCAAGATTTGCCAAAATAGCCCGGCCCGACCTATAGACTAAACACAAAAACCCTAATATCCTAATTCCTAAGTAACCCTTCTCATTCATCTCTTTCCAGACTGCCGAACCTCTCTTCTACAGTGACTCACATCCTCCTCACACTCTCAGGCAGCTGTAGAACCGACGAACATTCACCGGTGCAACAAGTAAACTCCGGCAGCCCTCTCTCTCTCTCTCCTCTTCGCACTTCTCTTTCAAATCTCAGACACCGGCGAAGCAGCGAACACAGGCACCGGCGGCGGCAGTGAGTTCTCTTTGCCATGAACTCAGCACCGGCGAACACAGTCACTGGCGGTGAGTTCTCTTTGCCATTTTGTTGTATTACGAAATTATTATTTAGTGTTTACGTAGTCGAATGCTCTTGTTTGTCCTAAATCCGAATGCTATTGTTTGTCCAATGCTATTGTTTGTCTGAATGCTATTAGGGATTTGTTAGGGAATCATAAAAACAACCTGATGCATTAGAGATTCACTACACATATTTACTGGCTTAGTTTGTCTTTCAAAAGTGCTAAAACTGTTAGATTTGATTATCTTAATTCCTAAAGAAAAAACATTGTATTTGGTTTTGGTAATGCTGCAAATCTGCAATCGGTTTTCCTTTTTATTTTTTATTTTTTGCAAATTCAGAATTTATATTGAACTTATATTCTTTTTTTAATGTAAATAAATTCTGAATTTAAATTGAATTCAGAATTTATATTGAATCCAGCTTTATATTTAATTTTTTAATGTAAATAAATTCTGAATTTATAATGAATCCAGCTTTATATTTAATTTTTTAATGTAAATAAATTCTGAATGTATATTGAATTCAGAATTTAGATTGAATCCAACTTTATGTTTAATTTTTTAATGTAAATAAAATAATTAATTTATGTAATATCTCTTAATAGAAAAATGATCTATATACCATTTGAGTTAGTTAGTTGTTCCATGATTGATCTAATACATAAAAATGGATATATTTTTTTGTTTTTTATTTTTTTTCCTATTTTTTCACTTTTTCTCATAGATATGTTGTTGACTTGGTCCCATCTATTTCTTAGTAGATAAAATTGACTCTATTTTTCTTTTAATTTTTTTGATAAATTATTTTTCTTTTAGTTTTTTATTTAATATATGCTTGTCTTATTGATAAAATTAGAATGCATTATACAGGTTATTTCATACTTAATAATTAGTAGCATGTCAATGGCAAGTGAAAGTGCGGCTACAGGAGTAGATACAGTTGATGATAACTATCAAGAGTTTGACCAGACTTCCACTAAGAAAAGATTGACATCTAAGGTGTAGGAAGAAATGGAAAAGATTAATTTGGAGAAGGCACAATGTAAGCACTGCAAGAAAATCTTACAAGGTAAGTCAGGTAAGGGAACTACGCACTTGAAGCGTCATTCAGAGTGTTGCCCTAGACGTACAATTTAGGATATTAGACAGTACAAAGTAACTACCCAATCAAACACTGATGGAAGTACTTCTTTTAAAAACTACAAGTTTGATCAACAAGAGTCTCGTAGGGCATTATCAGTTTTTCTTGTATGTGGAAAACACCCTTTTACTACTGTTGAAGAACCTGGTTTTAGATTCTTTATTCAATCTATAAATCCTGAATTTAAAAAAGTGGAGTAGGCATACTGCTAAAAGAGATATCATGTCTAGCTATGTGAAAGAGAGAGAGGGTGTGAAAAGTGATTTGTCTAATACACTTGGTCGAATTTATTTAACTTTTTATAATTGAAAATCTGAGCACACTGATGATGAATTCATGTGTATAACTGCTCATTGGATTGACAACAATTGAAAGTTACAAAAAAGAATTATTCACTTTAAAGCTTTGGCACTTCCTTTTGATAGACTATCTTTAGCAGATGAGGAGGCCATGTGCTTAAGCGAATGGAATATTGATCAGAAAATTTTTAGCATCACATTAGATAATGCTAGTTACAATGATGTAATGGCTAACTCTTTGAAATTGAGATCTTCAATACATAAATCTTTGGTGTGTGGTGGTGATTTTTTCAAAGTTCGTTGTTGTAGCCATATTTTGAATCTTATTGTGCAAGCTGGTTTGAACATTGTTGATGATGTTGTTTCTAAGATTCGTGATGGTGTGAAAAAAATAAAGAAATCAGCTGCCCGGAAGCATAGATTTTATAAACTTGCTAAAAAATGTTTTCACTTAAACACAACTAGAAGATTGATGTTAGATATGTGTGTAAGATGGAATTCAACTTATTTGATGGTTGAACATGTCATTTATTATAAGCAAGTCTCACAACATTGGGAGCAAAGGGATAATAATTTCAAAATGTTTATGCTTTAGGAAGAAGAACGGGGAAATGTGGACAAGCTTCACAAATTCTTAAAGATTTTTTATGATGTTACTTCCATGTTTTCTACCACTAAGTACCCTACTTCAAACATTTACTTCAAGGGAGTGTGGATGATTCACAAACATTTAATGTTAGTAAGGAATCTCAGAATTTTATGACTGACGTGGTTAGAAATACGAAGGAGAAATTTAATAAATATTGGGTTGAATATAGTATGATTTTGTCTTGTGCTGCTGT